AAAAAAAAAAACAAACGAACTATTTAAAACAATGATTAAGCTTCAAGCAAGACGAAACATCGGTACGAACGCCAAACGTCCAACATTATTTGAGACACCATATATTAAATTGAACTTCAAATTATAGGCAGGAATATTATGAGATTCTTCATTTATTGTGTGGTAAGTATTAAACTAATTAAAATGATTAAGTTGAGTAAAGCTTAAATTTTTTAATTAGTGATCCATTGTAATGGAGTCTGGTTAATTAGCTGACTTGTTCATCAGTCGGTGGGAGCTGCTTGACTTAATATATATATAATCCCTGGAATTGTAAAGTAGGATTAAGATATACTCATTTGCTAACGACAACTCTTTGTAATTGGCTATGGATTACAGTTGGATATTACAATTAATTTGTTAGCTAGTAACATATCTTCTCACAGTTGAGAGTCACATATGGAGTGGCTCAAGTGAGGTAGCAAAATAATAGTAAAACTACATGTACCAAGATTTTCAAGAGTCAATGATTAATCAAATGGTGGCATATGTATATAAATAAACTACTACGTACCCCTGCGATAGACGAGATCATAAATATTAAATGAGTTTTTTTTATTTCATTATTGTTGTGTTTCTTAATTTTTAGGTCCAAATAATCTCTTTTGGGCCCAAAATTGAAAAATAAAAATTAAACTCAAAATGAAAAAAATAAAAATTGAAGGCCCAAAACAAGGATATTGGATTTAACCGGTTAACCGTCAAACTGGACCGTCCAATGCGGTCCGGATTGTGGTCCGGTTATAGACAAGAAAAAAATTAACCGTTAGGTCCGGTTTGGTCATGGTTTGAGCTAAAACCAGACCAATCCGGATCGTGAACACCCCTACCAAGAGGTACAAACTCCATCTAGGAGATAACAACACACAAAAACCCAACTCTAGAAAGGAGACTGAAACTCCATTACAAAGACTGGATGCCAGATACAGCTAGACTTAATGAACTAAAGACACAAAGAAAAAATGAAAAAAAAATAACTCACAACTAATAAACGAAAAACAGAAAGAAAAAAAAAACACACACACACACACACTTAATTTACAAATAAA